TTACAAGTTCCTTTGGCCTTGGTATGTAGAAAAAAGTATCAACAGGTTCTTCTCATCACAAGGTTGGTGAAATACTTGTTTTCAGTCGATGCAGCAGGAGGTGGTCCTGGGTGGGTATGTCCTCCTAGCTCAAATGAGCAAGAATGCCTTACAGTCACTATTTTCTGATCTTCAGGTTTGAGTTGATGGCTGCTGATGAGTGCTGCAGTAGTACTGCACGGTGGTGAGCAGTTGTACGTTCAGGAGATCACTGCCCTTTTTGGAAATGCAGAGAAGTAAGGAGTCGATCTTACAAGCAGGATTTGTGTAGGAGACTGTCTTACAGAGGCAGTGGCTCTTTCTTAATGGTTCTGTTATTCCAGCTGTTTAAAGTTTTAGGTTTGTAGTGTTATCTTCACACACAAATACCTTTGCACCAATCCTACTCATCACATGGACAATCTGAGTGTTCGGTTATTTTTTGGTGTCAGTGCAATGTTGATAATGAGTGTGTCAGCACAGTCAGGGTGGCTGGGCAGCTGGTCCTGTGTCTCTGTGGGATGTGTGGCACCTGTGTTGGTGAGTGCTGAAAGCCACATGCTTGATAAAGGTTCATAAGGAAATCACTGGTATGAGGCTACAGCTGCCCGGGCTGTGTCCTTCCTTGGATATTTGCACTGTAGCTTTTCTCCTGGTCCCTGTGTCACTGCCTGGCTTGCATCAGCATTTTGTTCTTGCTATTTGTTAATTTCACTGTTATGTGGGAGAGCACCCACCATCTGAAAACAGAGTAAATGTAGGCAGGTTAGTCTGCTAATTAGCTGTGATGAGGTCCTGCAGCAGCTTGCAGGGGAATACCTGCCTGCCACCTAGTGAGGCAGTCTTTGGAGATGAGAGAGGGGAGATGCCAGGGCTGACTGTCAGGGCAAGAATAAACCTGTGAGGTTGGTGACCAAAGTCCTCTGATTTGTTTATGTCTGCTACTTCCGGAGAAGAATGTGGAAAAAGGAATGAGAAGAGGATTTTGCATTTTTTTTGGTTTGCAGTATGTTATAGCACGTGGGACTGTGTTCTGGTATTTGGGTGTTGAGTTTATACCCATGTTCTTTTAAGGGTTTAGGTGGTTTTTTGTGTGTATGTGGTATTTTTTTGTTTGGTTTTTTTTTTTTTTAGTTGGCTTTATGTTTTTGGTGCTTTGTGCTGACACATTGGCAGAAACAGCCTGGTTTAGTACAAGGTTGGCATCTGAAGGCATGGGCTTCAGAGGACAGAGCAAACTGCAAATCCAGATAAATTCTTCAGAAATCTGACATAGCCTGCAAGCTAAACTGGCTTCCAGTGACGTTGCTCTGAACGCAAAAATTATTTCTCGTCTGGATTTTGGGGATATGGTGCTTTGAGGTATCAATTCTGGGAGAAACTGGTGCTTGTAATTGCCTGACTCTAGTCTGAACAAAGTAATGCAAAGTAAAGGGTAGGCTTTTATTACAAAGAAGTTTGGTTAGATGAATTAATAAGTCTTTTCCACTTTAATTTCTGAGTCACGGAAATGCATTTTAAAGTGAAGAATAGGTCTATTATTAAATGTCAAGCAGCCTATTTCAGGAAAAGAGAAAGGGGTAGAAACTAATTCTTAAAACACAAAACACTGCATAGCTCTAACTACAGACCTGATTTCCATCCGTCCCGCCCCCCCTTTTTGTTTTATTTTTTCATTTCTTACTAAATGTGAAAGCTTCCTGTATCGATCTGGGAGATTGGCAGTTCTAGCATTATAAGGTCTTCAGATAGCTGTACATGAATTAGTAAACTGCCCATGGTATTAAATGTTGATTCATGGTTTGTGGAGAGTTATAGTACGTATTGAGGTTTGGTTATATCAATCTAACTCAGGTTTTTGTAGGCAAAATGTATTTTAAATATATTTATTTTAAAATAAAGGTATGCCTTAGATAATCTTGCAGACCTTAAGGGTTCTTAAAGCAAGCTTGCCTCTTCCTTTTTTAAATAATGATGGCTCTCAGAGTGACTCTGATAAATTTAATCTATAATGCAGTGTAGCACATTTTACCCAAAGCTTGAGCAGTGGACTTACCTTGTTCAGTCATATTTCATAGTACCATGGTGCTACTACACATGGACGCTGTTGTGTTTTAATAGTCTTGTCAGTTCACACTGGCTAATTGCCAGTCGGTGCAGTACTGCCTGCACTGGACCTGAGTCTGAAGCAGAGATTGACAAAAGTAATAATGCCAAGTCTTTCTGGGACTGGCGCTTAAATATTGTCCTTGTCTGTTTGTGGGGTGTTTTGTTTTTTTTGTTTCATTTTGGTCTTGTTTTTTCAACTCCAGCACCTGCAATGAATCACAGGAAAGCCATGAGAAACAGTCACATTCATCCTTTGATTTATTAGAGATGAAGGCTGGAAATCTTAGATTTTTTGGATGAGCTGAGCTCTGGTCTGCCTTCCTTCATTTTGAAAAAGACGTTTGTGATTGCTCTTATTTCTGCTCAGGAATTTCTTCCAGCAAACTTCTTTCTGATTACTCCTGAGCTGACCTACCTATCTTTTGCAGAAGTCTGATCCAAGTGGCTCTGATGGAGCAGATTTGCACTATAGATCAGTTCTGAAAGGTTGAAACTCTGTTTTACTGGAGGGCTCTGTGGATGCTTTTACTACTGAGTTGCATGAATTAAAAAAAAATAAATATTCTGCTACTCTCACAAGCTCAGTGTTCATCAATGTGTACCTCACTTCAGTGTCAAATGTTGCATAATAACAGGGATTTGTCAACAGAAGTATTTAGTGTCTGAATTAACTGGTTCATATAATGATCTGGTGTTCTCACGTACTGTTGTGGTCTATACCATAACAGTGTCTATGGCCATCCTGAAGTTTTTATTTCTTTGCCTTTAGCCTAAATTCTTTCAAGTATGTGAGAGGAACACTTGAAAGGCTGTGAATTGAGATGCTTGCTAATATACAGAGATGTTAAACAGGATAAATTTCAGTGCTGGCTGAGGTGCTAAAAACATACACATAGTTAAAAGAATGGTCTACATGACAAATAAGAGATTTGCTTGAAAATGCAGCGTGCCTCAGTTAAATAATGAAAAGGCAGGAAATTACCACTGGAGTCATAACAGTAACATAACTCCATCCATTTATGTATCTTTGTAATGCACCTGCCATCTGAAGGCTATGTATATATGGTAGTGGATATGTACCCTAAAAGGTCAGCCAAGGCCAATTTCTGCCTCCCCCCTTCAATGGCATGTTTTTTCCCTTTGGTTTAGAAGGTATGTAGTTTGGTGCTGTGCAGACATATTGTGGAAATAGTCTCTGTGGAAATGTATAGCTGTGTATGGTGATATTTAATCAAACGTGTACTATAAAACACCAGTAGAAATAACAGATTGTCAGGAATAGGCACTTTTGATTCTGCTTTTCAGCTGTGAAGAACTGCACCCATGACGTGTGCTGTTTAACTGCAGTAAGAACCATGATATGATTTGGAAGCATGGCTCTATCCCTCATCCTCTGAAGAAGTGAGACACTGTAGTGGCAGTGCAGGTATTGCTGGGGCACGTTTTGCTGTGTCTCAGTTCCTCTCTTATCGTTAAAGTTGGTTAAACTTCTCTAGCATATAGCAAAACTTAAGTTTAAAATATGGCCCCACCAGGAGGCAGAAGCAGGCCTTCTGTTCCTTCTGCAAGTTGGACTTCAGGGTGCTGGTGGGATTCGTGGGTGGTTTGTTGTCCCCATAGGCAGTGCCTAGTGCATCCCTGCTGCTGCCAGATGGCCCCACATAGCTGTGGGCACATGCAGCCTCAGCTCTGGGGGAGGCTGGTGGAGCCATGAGCCACTTGGAGCAGAAAAACTGAATTCTTTCCGTCCCCAAGAGCAAGCTGTAAACCTCCTGGTGGGCTGGGGAGCAAGGCTGATGTCCTGAGGTACAAAGGCTGCACTGGTGGCTGGTGGGAAGCTGGGGAGTGGCCAGGCAGCTCAGGGGGCTATTGGTAGAGGCTGGTACCCAGGGGAGCAGCCCCCCAGTTGCTAAGCAACTGCTGCCTGATGCTGTGCTGCAGCATGCTGTACATGCATGCAGATGTGGCCACATCTGGCAAAGGAAAGAAGTGTAGCATTCTTCCTCATGTTCTGTCTGCGTTCCTATAATACATTGTAGATTAAGCTGCATCAGGCCCTTCATTAAGCTCTTACAGCTCTTACATTAAGATCAATATTGTCTTGAAAAATGTTCAGCTCTACTTTAGATTTCATTCCATATGAAATTAACTGTTTTGTTTTGAAACAGTAATAACATGCAGTTTGCATCCTTTCTTACCCAAGTAGAAACCCTTTCTTACCCATTTTGCTTGCATCCTTTCTTACCCATCTAGACATCATTAGTCACTTTTGGTGTTCCTGGAAGTACTGATGGCTAACACAAGTTGCTTTGCACAGGTTGCAGTCTTGCAGGTTTGGGAGATCAGACTGAGGTCAGAGTAGTCTCGATATTAATTTGTAATTAATATAAAAAATATTAATTACAATACCGGAAGTAGATGGGCTCTGGGACTCTTAACTGTGCTTCTATATTTCTATCAGTAAAAGCACCAAGTGATAAAATTGGGCAAGTCTTCTGATTGTCTTTGGAGGAACTTAACATGAAGGTTATGCTTACACCTAGCAGACCACACTGTCCCTTAGGCAACTTTTGTCTTTCTCTTTTTCTCGTGTGTGACGAGCAGGCTCAGGGATGGGCAGGAGCTGACTGCCCTGATGGGCAGAGTGGATGCTAATCCTTCGGGAGTGGTTTTGGAAGGGACAGATGCCTTTGAGGGATCCATGCAAATGAGACCTAGGGCCTGGTCCCTTTTTCACGCTGGTAGTAAAAAACTGGCTCAGGAGCTGAGGCTTTTGTTTGAATGAATGTGCTAATGTGGGGCAATGTGTCAAACTTTGAAGGGTGTGACTGCAGGAACATCACCAGGGAAGTAAAACCAGTGACTGCTTTTCAAAGTCTTGGCCTCAGTCTGTGCTCCTATTGTTTCCACAAAGGGGATAATACTACTTCTTTTAATATTACAGAGATACTGTGAAAGTGAATTAAAAGCTTTTGAGGTGACTGGAAAGAGCAGTCATGAATGTCGTGGCTTTGAGCCCCTGAGAAAATGAAATATTTTTCATTCTGTGCATGGCTTGGCTTGTATGAAATAAATAGGGCATGGGGCTGTGTGGTGAGTGAGCTACAAGAAGAAATACCGAACAATTGCTTCGTTTTCCCAAATCTGATCTGCTGTGTGCACTCAGTGAAAGTGAGCTCTGTGGAAGGGTGGATTTTTGTTTTATATGTGAAAAAGGCAAATCAAGGTTTTGCAGCTATCTTTAATGCTGCCAGTTTTTCAGAGCTTGGATTTGTAACCTCTAACATTCTCATACCACAGCATTTTGTTGTGGCAGTTTTAGGAAACGCTGGCAATGCAGATGATTTCTGAATTTGCATCCCGTTTTCTATTATAAATCTCTCTTTATTGCTTATAACACTGCCAAACTGTAGGTTTTTGGGGCAGGAATTTCCCTCATTTTGTTGTTGCTAGATGCTGGTTTTAAATTAGTTTTATTCTTAGAAGTGGTAGCTCAAACCTCCAGCATTTACTTCCCTCCTCTTCCTGAAAACCTTGTTACTCTGTATATTAGTAAAATAAAGCCCTGCTCTTTGAGAAGCTTTGTCTCATCTGAGATCTGGAGGAGGGATTTAAATTAGCCGACATGGCCAGAGATGGTGCTTGTGTTGAGGTTCCTTCCACTCGTGGCTGTTGGTGGCCAGATTGTTGTGGCCGTTGACATCCCATTTGCCAGCAATGCCTGCTTGATACCCTTTGTGGGTATTGTTCTGGGTGGTGGTGAGCCTGGATAGAGCTGTGGAAGGAGCCTGTTTGTTTCAGTGCAGGCAGGAAAAGAAAAGTCTGAGCTGAGCGAAAGAGCTTGGCCCTTGAAGAAAAACATGTATTTGGAGGCAAAGAGAGAATCAACTGCTTGGAAAAGGGTGCTGTGGGTAGGCTTAGGGGGCAGAAAATGGGTGGAGAAGATCACTGAGGACCCTGACTGGGCCTTTAAATATCTGAACAAGGGAACATTAAGGATTGGAAAGTGAGAGGAGGAGGAGACCCCTGACAGGAGAGGACTGCTATTCTTTGCACTGCGGGAGCAGTGAGGTGGCAGAGCAAAGGACAGAGCAGGAAGGAAACAGCTGGGTGACAGAAAAGACCAGCCTGGAGACTGGAGCTGGGGTGTGCTGGTGCTGAGAGTGGCTGAGTGCTGATGCCTCATGGGAAGATGAGGTGATGAGGCCATAGTGCTGATGTGCTTTTAAGCATTGCCTTACATTCTCCAGTTCTGGCTCCTTGTGGGTTGGGAGGTTTTCTTACTGGTTTGAGTTTGAGTGCTTGAACTTTGTCGTCCTCTTATGTAGTGCTGAGGTCTTCCTTGTGTGATAGGAATTGAGTAGTACAAGTTTAAACCATACACTTTTACGTGAGTGGCTCATGCACGAGGCATAGAGAGAGCAGGTTGTTTGTGTTTGTACTTGGGAGGAAGATGAAGAAATGAATGATTCTCATTATAGGCACAAGTCCTTGCTTAAGTTTCTTATTTGCTGCTAAGAACTCTTGGAAAAGCAGCCAGAGGTGCGCTGCTGGTTTAGTTTTGCTTTTTTAGATTAGTGGCCATTGTATGTAGTTCTTGGTTTAAGGCGCACTGTTTATATCTCAAGGAATTGTAATATAAAGCATTTACGGATGCCGAAAAACATTCAATATCCACAAATGTGTTGACAGGAACTTGGAGGTTTTGGCAGAAGGATTCCAAGATTGGTGTGAGGTGGTCTGGACCATGACTGAGGTTTTTTTCTCATGTATTTTGTGTTACCTCAAATGTGAGAATGAAAACCTTGTTCCTGTTTGCCTGGCCCTAGCTTTTAATTTGTTTTCATTTCAAGTACTTACTGCAAAATGCTATTCTGCTTAGTCAATATGATTGTGATTTAGTTTTTTTGAGCAAATGCAACGTTCGAAGAGGGGGAGAAAAGGGAGAATGGAGGTACATCAGTCTTGAAACAGACCTGGGTTAAAAAAAAATCCAAATGATAAACTTTCCTTTTATAAAAATAACCAACCAAAACCCACAGACAGAAAACAAACAGGAAAAACAACAGGAAAAAAAAACCAACAAATCTCCAAACAAAAAAAGCCCCAAACCATTTGTCTGAAACTGTTTTTTCAAATTCAACTTCAGCACTTTATTGAAGAAAAAAGTTCAATTAGCCTATCTTGGTGATATCTGTATATACATTTGGAAGTGAATATGCATGGACTTTGCTGATTTTATTTGTTCAACCAAATCTTAATTGAAATATAAGCTAATTTCAGGATTACTTGTGGGTGGGTGAGTAGGGCTTGGGAGCTCTATGGTATGTGTGGAAGCTGTTTCAACTGAGTGATGCCGATATGGTTATGGGTGGTTCATGGCTTAGCGTATGCTTAGAGAAGGGTCAGGGAGGGTGGTCTTCACCAGAAGGCTACGTAGACAGCAAGTGGTCCCTCCTCAGTCATTTGATCTTCATTCCTCATCCTGTGTGAATGAAGCTTCCAGCAGGGACCTTGAAGGAGAGAGCCTCCCCTTCAACAAGACACCTGTCAGACTCAGTGGTGGAATTGAGCTCTTGTGTGTCTTTGGAAGCTTCCTCCTACCCCATATAGATAGCTTTTGTGAATTAGATCTAGATAATATAGATAGGGTGAATTTGAAACTTGCATTCCAAGGGGGAAAAAAAAAAAAAAGTCATCCCTCATACTTATCCACAAGCCAGATTTCTTACAGACATTCCTGGATATGTTTGCACAGCAACTAGCTGCTAAGTTACAGTATCTGCTGGCAGTTTTTCTCTGGGTAATGAAATACTTTATTTAATTTCTTCCTTGGAAAAAAACCCAAATGTATTTGTAGGACATGAAGAGTAGAAGGCTTGGGTCTTTGCCACTGGTAATCCTGACTTTTGTAGCAAAGCAACCCAGGACTAGATAGATGGTTAGAGCTTGAGGCCAGAGGCTGCACTGCGTGTCACCTGTAGTGAGGTGCTGTGCGTACATGGAAGTACCTTGAATTAAGTGGACTTAAAAAAATTGAAGTGTGTTCTCCCCCTTTAAGAAACGGGAGGAATATTGAATCTAAATGTTAACTATTGTAAAAAAGAAGCATGCCATCACTGCTGCTAACTGTAACAGCCTGTTGCAGCACCTTTATTTGATCAAGCACTTGAAAGCTAGCTAGTTTGTCATAGAAGGCTGCTGTGGTTTCTGTACAGGCTGTTTAAAAACTGCACAGCTTTGGGAATAGAAGATATTTTTTTTCCAATCTCCCATCAATGACTGCTATGCTTCAGAGGTTTACTTGCTTATATTGAAATAAGAACTGATGAAGAAAAAATTCTCCTGCATTATTAAGAGCTTGGGGAGGAAGTGCCTTTGTATCTCAGCTGGTGCTGAACAAATAACTATTGTATTCAACACTACAAAAGCTGGTTACAGCCACCATGGTGACAGGGGCTGCATGGGGAGGGTTAACACTTCAGCTCCTTTCCCCCTCTCTTTTTTTTCTAATACAGATCTGTTAATTTGCCTTTTCTTTGTCATTTTCTTCCTATAATTGAGCTGTTCCTGTTGGCTAGCATGAAAATGAATTGTGCTATTCTGAAGCACGTATTCCTGAGCCCTTGAAATTTTACATCAACTGGCTGTGTATCGCTACAGCTAGAAAAGGAGCTATTGTCTGTGATAATATTTAAGACAGATGGAAAACTTTATTAATGATTACATAGTAAAATAGCGCTTCAGGAATAATGCGGAAAACTAAGTCATTCCATCTCTTCCAGTGCTTTAAACTGACAGAGGGGAGATTTAGATTAAATATTAGGAAAAAGCTCTTCCCTGTGTGCGTGGTGAGGTTGATCAGAGAAGCTGTGGCTGCCCCACCCCTGGGAGTGTTCAAGGCCAGGTTGGACGGGGCTTTGACCAACCTCATCTAGTGGAAGGTGTCCCTGCTTGTGGCAGGGGGTTGGAACTGGATGAATCTTTAAGGTCACTTCCAACTCAAACCATTCTAGGATTTGATGATTCTATGAAATTTCTTTATGTTCTGGGAAAGTCAGTAAGATGATGAGGACTTTCTTCTGTTTGTTTTCTTTTATAGGTACTTCGGAAGTTGCACAGCAGTTCAGTGCTTCGACAGTACGTGGCCAAAGCAGAGCTCCCAGTCTTCACATGGAATGCAGCTTATAACGGTAAGCTTAAGTTTTTAGAAGCAGTCACCTAGCTTACATATCTGCACTAGGAGCAGATGTGGAGGCCCTAGAACAGCATAAATACATTATTTGAAGAAAATGAAAATTTAAGTTTTCTTCTTGGAGTTAATATATGTCTAATGTTCAATAAACCTATGGGTATTGGCTAGAACCATCTGTTAGCACTACTTCATTGGGGTTTTTTGTGTGTTATCTTTAGTAAAATTTATTACGTTGCATGAAAGGTGTATGTGTGTTGGACGTTCTAAATGAAGGCAAGACTATCCATGACTTAAGCAGCACAAAATGGTAGGTATTCATAAAAGGATGGTAGAAAACAGAAAGTGCCTGTGTCTTTGGGAAGAAACAGATACTTTTAAATATCTCCACACTGTACTTTCCTATACATTTTTCCAGTTCAAACTGTGTGTACATGTTAGCTAATTCAGATGCTTTTTTTCTTTGCTTGCAGTGGGATGCTGGTCCTTGCTTCCATGTTGGATTTTAGCTGTGGGAGTTTGATACCTCTCAGCAACTGCTGTCTTTCCTCAGTATTTGACCTAGAAACCAAGTAAAGCGATGAGGAGATTTGTTTACTGCAAGGTGGTTCTAGCCACTTCTCTTATGTGGGTGCTTGTGGATGTCTTCTTACTTCTGTACTTTAGTGAATGTAATAAATGTGATGATAAGAAAGAGAGGTCTCTGCTTCCTGCTCTGAGGGGTAAGTGCCAAATCTAAGGTGTCTTTAAAGGTCATAGATTTTTATTTATTTTTTTAATGTATTTAGCCTCATGTATGGCTCTCTGTACTTCCTAAACTATTTTTCCCATTCAAACAGACAAAATACGAGGATCTGAAGAATTTTGTTTCTCTAGTGCTTTAGTGGTTTCTGAATTAATTCCCGTTATCCTAATGTTTGACCTTTGCTGTAACAAAGCCTGAGTCTTGTGTTTTCTTCAGCAAAACTAATATAAATTCTTCACAATACATGGAGGAGAAGACGGAAGTAAATATATAACTTTTTTATAAGAAGTCATTTGACCTACAAGATAAATGATTCTCTATGATTCCATGTTTTGGTTTTTTTTCTTAATTTTTGAACAGTGCTTACTTGTAAGCTTGCTTTTAAACACTTAACTTGGGTGGAAACAGTTGGTTTAAAAGATTAGATTCCCCTCCACCATATGAAAACGTCAGGAGCAAGTCTGAAATGCAGATGGAGCAGAGGTTCTTGTCTTGCTCCAAATATTTTTAGCAATGTAATTTACTACAGGGGAGTTCATGAAAGCTGAGTCTTAACTGGAGCTACAAGTTTTCAAGTTTGTAATTGCTAATTTCCAGAGCTGCCATTCACAGGATAGATTGTGTGCTTCTGTGCATCCAAAAGATGCAAGTACTTGCAGTTTAATACTTGACAATGAACTTGAAAGTAACCTGTAGAAGCTGTAACTGATGTTGACTGCTGAATGCAGTTAAGACCTGCGAGAAATTTACGAGAAGAACAGGGAGTAGAAATTTACAAAATACAGGTGTTTGTTTTTTCTTTTCAGTTAACATCCTAGTCTTAAAGAGTTCAGGTTCAGTGTATGGAAGAAGGAAGATAATTTGAATCCCTAATAGGATTGGAACAGGATTAATTAGAACTAGTGCAGCTGCTTTTGTAACATGTTGATAATAGACAGAAACTGTGTCTGATGCTGTTTCTCTCTTTGTAAATACAGGTGCGTGTTAAACTACTGTCGTGGTTTAACCCAACCGAACAGCTTGTTAACTCACTCCCCCCCCTTCTTGCCCTCCCCCTACTCTCGGAGGGACGGAGAGGAGAATCAAAAAGAATGCAACTCCCACGGGTTGAGATAAGAACAGTTTAGTAACTAAAGTATAACACAAATCACTACTGCTACCACCAATAATAGTAATGATAAAGGAAATAACAGGGGAAGAGAATACAACAGCCCATCACCAGGCAACCGATAACTTGCCCCCCAGCCCAACCAAGCGCCGACCGATACCTCCTCCAACCCTGCAGTCCCCCCTCTCCCCCCCTTCCGGGTCACTCTCCCAGTACATCCTGGGCATGATGTGCTGTGGTATGGAATACGTCTTTGGTCAGTTTGGGTCAGGTGTCCTGTCTCTGCTTCCTCCCGGCTCCCCTCCTCCCTGGCAGAGCATGAGGCCCACAAAGTCCTTGGCCAAACCAAAACATCATTGTTTTTCAGCTCTGTTCCCAGCTGAAAGTCAAAACACAGCACTGCACCAGCTACCAAGAAAGAGAAAAATGACTGCCACTGCTAAACCCAGGACAACTACTGATCCTTAGTTTTGTTCACGAGATAAATCGTCATCCATTTAAAAGCACTTTGGGGTTATAGTTCACTTGAGATGATAACTTTGCAATAATTCGAAATGAAACTGCCATTCAGTGGTGGGTTTGTCATGTCACAATTCTTAAATGTATTTGGAAAGCTTCACTTCTACCTTCCAATCGTATTAATAGCTACATGATATTAAAAAAATTATTTTTTGCAAATGAAGAGGATATTGCTTGTTGCCATAGTTGTTTGGGTTATTTCTTTTTTCCCCTGTGTGATTGAGTTTAGTCTATCTTTAAACAATCATTAGACAACAGTCTGGCATATTGTGGGGGCAAAAAAAAACCTCAACCAACCCATTTTACCTGTACTGTCAGCTGCAGAAAAGTGATCTTAAATTGTTTTTGAAGTATGCATTGGAATTTTCTCAGAATTTATCACATTTTGTGAAATGACTTTAATTGGTTGCATTTTTTACTATGTAATTGGATAACTTAGAAAAAATATTAGAATTATAGAGTTTATTTGAACATTATCAACTTTTAAGTCAATCTGAGGTTAAAAGACAACATAAACACGTCCCTGCCACCACCACTGAAATTTAACTTTCAAGTATAAACTCACCTTTATTTCTCTGTGTAATACTATGCAATACTCCACTTTTATTTTGAAGTACTCTGTTGCATTTGACTACTTGAAATGACTTTTTTTTTTTATATATTAAACTTAACTCTGTGTGCTGTGGCTGTTAAAAAGAGATGAGGTTTCTGCACAGAGATTCTGAAAGCAACACTGCTTCTTGCTCTTAGGTTCGAGAAGCAAGTTATGTTGCATATATAACATTTCTACATTAAAACCTGGTAAAATATATATTGAGTCTCTTACTATACTATTCATGTTCTTTATAAATATCGTAAGAATATTTAATTGTAATTTTTATGGAATCAGAGACACTAATACAGTTTTATTTGAAATTGATTCTATGTCTTTTTTTGTTAGATAACTGAAAGTTGCTAAGGCTTCTGCCACAGAGGAACAAAATGAGCCAAAAGCGGAGTTCAGTCTACTTCATCCTTAAGTTTTTGATCAGTTGTTTAAGAGGGAGAAGTAGCTGTACTCTGCTTGGTCACATATGGACTTAAATAACAACAGTTCCAGTAAATGAGAATCATTGCACATTCTCATTGAAAAGATTTTGAGTTTTGGAAAGCGTTGTTTGGTAGATGAGAGCTGTTAATTCACTGGAAACTGGCTTGCATAAATAATTGCAAGAAACCTACTTCTTCTCATTTGCAGCTGTAATTGAAGGTTTGGTAACTTAGAATGTAGTTTGTGGTGTTTTGTGTTACTGTATCCACCAACTTGAAAAATGATACACACTGTTCCAAATAAATGTATGTGTTCTTGAATGAAATTTACATTCCAGTCCACTACATTCAAAGTTAATTTGTCTGGTTTTGGGGGTTTTCCAATGTCCTAAATATTTCTTGTTATATTAGATAGTCATAGGTATTGCGATGTCACATATTTGAAAATACAAAAAGATCCAGAGTAAGTTCTCTCTTTATTATGGCGATTTAGCAACATGATTTAATTCATTTCTGTTGAAACTGTGTGTGTTCTGGTGGAGTAATTAGAAATGTTTTTTAAACTTCTGTAGCTTCTAGTGCAGCAGACTACTAAAACCTCCTTACTGTGCCATGAGCTATTATGATGGAAATACAGTGTAGTGCTGCTTTTTGCTGTAAAGCACCTGCATAGTACTATCACCTTTGTCTTATTAATAGTGTATTTATTTGTCTCTGAATACCTGTAATTGAGAATGCAGATTATCTGTAAACATAAAAAGCAACATAATTACAGTATTTCCACAAGGGTATTAAAAAAGGCACAACAAGAATCAATACAGTAATAGAAACTTAAATTGGACATGTTAATCCAGTGATTGAAGTCACTTAATCCATCACGCTCATCGTTAATTGAAGAGGAAATATTCTGCTTATATAGAAAGGTGTGTTCAGAGGTGAAACTTTCCATGCCTTGTTCAGTCATAGTTACTGTATTCTAAATGGTTTGTAAAGACAGCTTTACAGTAGAAGAATTTTAAGCAGGGACAGCCCATGGACTGGAACACTACTGTCAGAAATCTCCCTCTGATGTCTTGCTGTACGTCTGTAAGTGTGCAAGTGACAAGTATAAAAGCTGAGTGCTACAAAAATGAGCTGTTGCTGAACTGGGTTAGTGGTATTGCTTAACAACTTGCAGGTGTTATCGTGATCAACCCTGAGCTGGTTTTCAGTGAAGTCATCATTACTGGCATCTGTTTTCATGCCACTGTGGAAAAAAACCCAAAACATTTATTTCTTAAACTTATATAATACTTTAGAGGAAAATGAGTGGCAGCCTTTCACAGGCTCTGGTTATCAGTGGCACAGAGACTGTGAAAGTATCCTGTGAGCAGCTTGGCAGGTCTGCTTCACTCGGTGTAGGATCCACAGGGGAAGGATTGAATTATGTCACTGCTGCTTTCCTCTGACATTTAAGTGTGTGTTTGAACATACCTTGTGGTGTCTGATGTGATGGGGCTAGAGCAGCATTGTCTAGATCTTGAGGTGATGGAGAAGTAAGTTCTCAGGATGTGCATCAAACAATGGGGAAGCTCTTTCAAGAGTAATCCGTAACATAAACAGGATTTCAGTCCCTTCCCATTCCCAAAGGCTTACTTGCGTCTTACAGCAATCTGCTCAAGAGCATAGATATTTTCCTGGAAAATCTTGTTTTTCTTGAATTACAGGAAGCTTAGTTTAGGACTGCCTATGCCTACACCGTAAGTTATAAGAAAGGTAGAGGTTTTATGGAGAGCATTCTATTAAGTAGGAGTTGGATCTGGCTTCTCCCCAAATGGAAGTAAATGCATATTGTATAGTGGAAAAAGGGACAGGGGCATTTAGAAGCGCGCCTGGTACGAGAGATCAGACTGGAGAGAGGGTCCTCATCTCTTTTGCTTCTTCTCAGTGTGGTCCTTCCTGCAAAAGTAGGAGCCAAAGCTGTCTTGTCAAACCAAAGCTGTCTTGTCAAACCAAAGGAGTTTTGAAGGGAAAAAAAAGTTGGCAAGTCCAAAACCAACCAGGCGTCCGTCATCTTTACCCAGTGGGGTGTGTGCATGAGGGCTTCAGGAACATGGCACAGCTTAGCCACCGCTTAGTTCAGAAGTTTGGGAGTATTTAAGATGTCTTGTATTGCCTCTTGCAGGATGCTTTCTGCAGCCTGAGCCAGTTGTGGATTCAGCATTACGTGGGAGAAAATAAGCACTTGGTTTGTCAGATGTTCTGACTTGTCTTGGGCTCTTCTGCTCTGTGTAGGTGCAGTATGTACTTCTTGCTTGGCTTCCAGCTAAGACTACTTCAGT